GCCCTTGTTGGGTGTCAAAACCCCTGGCTCTTGTAAGCCCGTGTTTGGGTGTCAGAACCCCTGCAGGCCCGTGTTGGGTGTCAAAACCCCTGCGGGCTGCCAGCCCGCAGCTCTTGTAAGCCCGTGTTTGTGTGTCAAAACTCCTGTGGGCTGTCAGCCCGCAGCTCTTGTAAGCTCGTGTTGGGTGTCAAAAGCTTCAGAACCCAACATGGGCTGCCAGCCCGCAGCTCTTATAAGCTTATGTTGGGCGTTAAAAGCTCTGCGGGCTGCCAGCCCGCAGCTCTTGTAAGCCCGTGTTGGGTGCCAAAACCCCTGCGGGCTGCCAGCCCGCAGCTCTTGTAAGCCCGTGTTGGGTGTCAGAACCCCTGCGGGCTGCCAGCCCACAGCTCTTGTACGCCCGTGTTGGGTGTCAAAACCCCTGCGGGTTGCCAGCCCGCAGCTCTTATAAGCTTATGTTGGGCGTTAAAGCTCTGCGGGCTGCCAGCCCGCAGCTCTTGTAAGCCCGTGTTGGGTGTCAAAAGCTCTGCGGGCTGCCAGCCCGCAGCTCTTGTAAGCCCGTGTTGGGTGTCAGAACCCCTGCGGGCTGCCAGCCCGCAGCTCTTGTACGCCCGTGTTGGGTGTCAAAACCCCTGCGGGTTGCCAGCCCGCAGCTCTTATAAGCTTATGTTGGGCGTTAAAAGCTCTGCGGGCTGCCAGCCCGCAGCTCTTGTAAGCCCGTGTTGGGTGTCAAAAGCTCTGCGGGCTGCCAGCCCGCAGCTCTTGTAAGCCGGTGTTGGGTGTCAAAAGCTCTGCGGGCTGCCAGCCCGCAGCTCTTGCAAACCCACCCATTTGTGCATAGCTTCAACCCTACAATGTTCTGCAGAGAATCATCTATGAAGGAAGGATGCTCGCTGGTGGATACACATGGCGCCTTGAAGCGAAGTCTACCTTTCTACCTCAAACTGTCTTGACTTTGAGGGAGACTTTGAGCAAGCGGGTAGAGCCTTACATGGCCTCCGAAGTCCTTCTCAAGCCTTGCAACAAAGTTTACTGCAATCCGTATTGACCTTGAGGGAGACGTCCAGCAAGTGGGTGAAGCCTTACATAGCCTCCTGCTTGCCGCCCCTCGCATACCACTTGCAGCACACTTGCCCCTCTTGGCCTACCTGCAGCACACTTGACCCACTTGTCTGTGTTGCCCTGCTTGCCGCCCTTGCGCCCTGGCCCAGGGAGGAGATGGGTGAAGTGGCGAAAGTGAGTCAAGTGGGGGCAAATGGGTCAATTGGGTCAAGCGCGGCTCCGAGGCAAGTGGTTCAAGCGTGTCAAGTGAGGCAAGTTGTAGCAGTTGGTTTTCCATCCAGACACCCAGGACAGTGTGTCAAGTGTGCAAGTGGGTTGCAATCAGTTACCGGTCCCCTGGTGCATGCGCACTGTCACAGATCGACTTGAGTGATCTTCGGTGAGTGGGGCTTTCTTACACTGTCATGTGTCCATAGGTTGGCTGGTGGGAAGTATGCTTTGGACCCAGATCCCTTGCAACTGGCAAGTGGCATGCTGGCAGCGCCTCAGAGCAAGGACTGGATTCTGTCCATGGACTGCGACTCCTTATTCGTGGACATGACAGCGCAGAGCTAAGGCAGCTAAAGGTCATGGCCCTTGTAGCCGCCCTGAATCGCATGCAATTGCATGTAATTGTGAAGACCAGGTTACAGTGGACTCCCTGCTTTACCGCTTCGCCTCGCGAGCCACGCCATGGGGAAAACTTGAGATTGATCCGGACGTGCATTTCCTCATTTCGGAGGTGGGTCAATTGCAGGGCAATGCAAGGCAGGTAGTGTTTCTTCCAATCATCCCTATGATCAGGATGGCCGTGGATTAGCCGGTGGCCTGGACATGTTGAGCAAGCAGGCAACTCGTCTAACAAATGTTTCGGGGGTTCAGAGCAGGTGGAAACTGGATCGTGCGCAACTCCCAAGAAGGTGCGGGACATGACGTGCACTCTGAGCACTCCTGCCTTGGATTTCGATGCATCCCCAATTATGAGACTTGAATACGTTCCAAATTTTGTACAAATTTGCAGGATGATCATCTAAGAGTCATAAGAAGAAAGCAAATCTCAAGGCCGGGCCTTCCTTCAGGGGATCTTTGGGCCTGACGATGCCAATGGCAATCCCTATTTGAGGCCTGTTTGCAATTTGCAAGTCCCTGGCAGGGCTACCTGATGGAGCTTTGGGATGTAGGGGATAGAGAGTTGCTAAAGCAAGGGTGGAGGGTGGGCTGGCTGGATCTGGTTCTTCCACAGGAGATGACACTGACTGTCTAAGAGCATGTAACAACCGGTGACAGATCTTTCGTTGGAATTGCAATCAGCTCTAGAATAAGAATGCATTCAGGAAGTACTTCAGATTGGAAGAGTAAGGAGCTGCAGCAATGGCAATTACAATTCGCATGCGAGCACTCAGATTGTGTAAGCGTTGCCCACATTCACCATGTTCGAAGCCTCTTTGTGAACGGCAGATTTCACTTCTGTGCATGACAGCTGAACCTGGCTGAAGGCACGACCTGCGTGATCAGTTCTCATTGCTATGGCATTTGGCATGAGCCTCAGGCGCAGTTCCTGATTACAGAGATTACAGTAGCCATCTCGGGGTCTCTCAGGAAGGGTATATTAAGAAGCTTGTCCAGAGGCTTCCTTTTGCGTGGCAGTCCGTTCACACGGGGGTCCAAGACAGTGAGCATACAAGCGCACAAGAGTTTGAAGAGCAATCCAGTCTCGCCAGATTTTTGAACCATCCAACAAAAAATGAATTTGACATCTTCTTTCAAGAGGGCTTTTGCTTGAGGTTCGGCCTGGAGTATCAGTGCCCATGCCGCAAGACATCCCATCAACCAGGCTGCTGCCTTAGGTTGCTGGTGCAGTTCTTGCAGAAGGGCTATGGTGAACAGACACTTGATCAGCATAACCTATACCGCCTTTCCTCAGTTTTCAGCGTCGTCACATCTGTTGGTTTTTGCAGACATATTTGCAGCCCATGAGCCGGAGCACACGCCGACAACTCCATGGAATCTTGCAGCTGTCTGCACACTCTAATTTCCAGGCTTCAGCTCCTGAATGCCACATCCTGCAAGCCCATGTAAACCCCATACTCTGAGCTCCAGGCCTCAGCTCGCAGACAAGTCTTTCCTCCAAGCGGATTCTGAGGCCGCAAGCTCCCCGGTCCTGGGAGGCGCTGGGCTCGAACGAGCTGCGGTCGACATCAAATCTATCAAGCGAATATCAAGGGTGGCTATGAGTTCCTGAAGGGGAGCATGATATTTTCCATGATCGCAAAGATCTCCTTTCTGCAGACCCTTTGTAGACCTTGTTCTTCAGGGCTTGTACTCATCAGGCCATGGGCTACCTGAAGCTAGCAAGGCTGGTCCCGCAGGCGCCGGCTTCCGGGAATTGTTCCAAAAAGATGGGATGTCTCAAGACCATGGATCTTCATGTGGAGATTCCTAATTCCATAGATCCTTTTATGGGGAATTCCTAGTTCGAAGGTTTCTGTGGACCTGCTTGGGAGCAAGACCGCTGAAATCAGTTTCACAGCCGTCCCTGCTGTCTGAAGCAACAACCTGAAACCCGGAACCCCTAGGCCCTAGGCCCCTAGCCCTGAACCCCGAGCATCGCGTGGCCCAGGATCTGCTTCTGGGTTCCTGGCTTGGCTTACTCGATCAGATCGGTCTCCGAAGAGTCCATGGAAGAAGCCCCTCAAAAGGAAGCTTCTGCTCCCTCCTCCCCTGCAGCTGTCGCTTTGTTGCAGACGTGAAGCACAGCTGCAGAATCCAGGCTCGTATCCCTACGTCAGCTGTTCTCAGCCTGGTGTACGGACCCCAGCGAAGAGCGGACTTGGATAGTGATGTGAATGAACCCTACCTGCAATGCAAACTCGTTGAGCTGGATCCCTGCCGATAATGTTGATTTGATCGCGGCTGCGAGTTCTAACTCTGCTCTTAATCCAGAGTTTTTGGGTTGGAATGCGCCGAAAGCGGGGCATGGTCATGTAATGTGGTGATCATGGCGATGTGGGGAGATTTTTCGGTATTGGGGTCCTTCCTGCCTGCTGAAGGATCAAGCACATCGCTGCTTCGGTGAAGGACCCACACCCACATCGGCAAATTAAGACCTTTGCATGGCTTTGCCAATTGATTGAAACATATTGAAACAGACTCCAGCGCATGTTGAGTTCTGAGCATGAGAGCATTTGAGGGCTAAATGATATTGTTTGTGAAAAGCGGTCTTCATGTAACTTGCAGCAGGTTTTGCTCACTTCGGGTGCTTCTGAAATGGCAGGACCCAAAGATCAGGACTTCATCGTCTCAGTGCCACTGCCATGACCTCAGAAGCGGAAACTCAAGCAAGAAGGCATTGGATTGACAGAGGAGCCGCTAGGTCCGCTAGGTGCTATTTTGCTATAATGACAGGATCTATCTGAGAAGGAGTTAGAACTTCGACTTGAGATTTGCGGCATCTGCAGCCTGAATAGACAGTGATCCGCAAAACCAGGCGTCAGTACCAAGTGCCAAAATGAAGATTGCAGTTTCGCATCCTTTTCAGCTCACGACATCGTTGAGGTAAGGTCAGCCAAAAACAGGCCAGAATTCCAGTACGCGCTTGGCGCACCTTGGTAAGGTAAGGGACCAAAGACATACTGAAAATGCACCAAGCCAGTGTCACCAGATGGGCTATAGTGTAAACTCCTAGTATCCCCCTTAATAACCCTACTTATAGTAGTCCCCTATATAATCAATCCCCTATACAGCCCCTCTAAGGAGTCATTTTAAGGAGTTTAGACCAGAGCTCAAATAGGTGCAAGGCATGCAGCCCTTGAAGGAAAGACTCCAATCAACACTTGCATTTCAATGGTTACACTCACAAGACCAGTCTTGTGACTCCAGACTGAGCTTTCGAGGATGTGATAGGAAAGCGAGCAGATAGCCTGGTAATACTGGTGCCCGAAGAATTCTGCAGGTTTCATGTTGTGACCCATATCTACACCCTTGGCCTCTCCTCACCGCTTTCTCGGTATTGTTGGGAGGAGTCATCCGCGCGAAAGGATTGCATGTAGAATCCTTACGCTAGAGTCCTTCCAAAGCGATACAATTGATTTAGATTTTTGTTTTGACTTACAGAGGTTTGCGTGGGAAGCTCAGACAGGGCTGGGTGCGCGAAAGCAAGCAAACCTTTCGTAATTAGTTTGCGACCTGATTCTACCTGAGGGGTTGCGTTGCACGGCATTTGGAAGTGCTTGAACCAGGTTTATCTGCAAGCTAACCCTGCAGGGACTTCGGCCGTCAGGCTGTGAGTAGACGAAGTAGGCTTGATTGACGGTACAGTACTCAAAAGCTGAAAAGGTCTATGAGGATGTCGGCTGTTACCACCATATTACCACCTTTGCAAGGTTGGGCGCGCTGCCCACTCAGCTGGCGCAAGTGATCCTAGACCGCTTCCTGCGGCTTGGCCATGTTCAAATTCTTATTGTAATGTTTAGTAGTTCTAGCCATGCAGCGGCTTCAACCTCGTAAAGCAGTATTCACGTTGAAGCAGCTGCGATAACTTTACAGTACTTGGTCATGTATGTCATGCATATTCGCATGCGGGTGATGCCAGTCAGCGAAGCTTTCTAGGACAGGGGGAGGCGAGGACTCGCAGAACAGCTGTTGACTTGGGGCAGCAAAAGGAGAAGCAATCCACGGTGCTTTGCAGAGAATCAGAGAAGGATTCTAGATTCACTTACTATGCCAGTTCTGTTCAACAACGTGCTCGCAGGCGTTCCCCTGCATTCCCGCCTTTTTTCTTAGTGATAGGTTGAGTCCGGAGATTTCGAACATCTACACGCCTCTAAAACAAGACGCAAGGGAACACCTGCGTTGCAGAAATGCTATTCCATGTTCGAAGGGCTCCATATTTTCAATCTCCTCACAGTACGACAACCAAACGAATCCCTGCCCTCATTCCAACGAGTGGAAGTGCCAAAAAAACAGCTCAGGTTGGAAAGCCTGGGATCTCTGGGGCAACCGGCGCCTTTGGCATGTGGATTATTCTCCAAAACATGGGCCCTTTTCTTGTATGACTTACAGTCTGGCACCTGGTACTTAGGGTTCATTCAAGAATGGGGCGCTTGTTTTTCAAGCTTCAAATGTTCTGCGGCTGCTTGCAGGTGGCCCTTTGTTGGGCGGCTGTATGGTGACTGAGGGATTGTATGGGCTGCATGTTTTGTAGTTGAGCCACATGGAGGTAACAAGGTAAAGTCTGTACCTCCTGATCCATGTACGCCAATCCTTGCGTGAAGCTCTTGTTGCCCAGGGTATTTCTCGTTGAAAGCAGATTGCACTTTGTATCTCATCGGAACGTTCTCTTGCGGATCTGAACCTGTAATACCTCAGCATAAGGAGCCTTGTATGTGAGCCTCCAAGTTTTACAGCGGCTCTCATGCTGCCCTTGCCAGCTCCAGGATGCCGCAGTTGTGCTTTGTGTCTGAATCAGAATGCAGCCGGAGCTAGGCATACGAGCAAGAGTTGCGGGGCATGTGCGCCACTGTGGACGTCTCGCGTTGTTTAGCAGTGGGCCCAGAGAAGGCTATGTGTGCAGCACGATTTCCACAGGTGTGTGCCGCTCAAAGCCAAAGCCAGAATCCAATTTGTGTTTGTGCGTGCTTATTGCGTGCCTATTTGCAATTGCACCATTGACGCGCTCAGTGTGCAAGAGGATGCGAAACCAGCCCTGTTCTTCGACACAAAGTCTCCCATGTTCATTCTGGATGGGAATTGAAATGCCACGGAGACAACCCAAGCTGATTGAATCCTGCAAACACATGGGGCTGCAGGTCAAATCTGGCCAGGGACACCACTTATGACATGTTCCCGGTCACTTTTCTAGACATGCAAACCCTGCTCACTGCCCTCATCATCAATGGTCATTCGCTGGATACTGCCACATTTATGTTCAGCGGAAGGGAGGTTCACAGTCAGCTAGATTTGCGGTCAAGCTATTAAGTCACTTCTGAGGTCGGTCAATCAGGGAGTGCTACCGGCCGGTGACATCGCTTGAAAACAATACTCGGCGGTGCCTACTTTATGATCATGCTTGTTGGATTGTTCCATGTTTGAGAAGCATGCTGGGAATTTGGAGATGCATGTGGAGTCTGCCGTTATGCCTGGAAGAACGATGATCACCGATTCCCGGCATTGCCCGTCCATCTCCTCATGTTCGACGGTAAAGTAAGTAAGGGCTTGGACGAGGCAGGGCAGGCAGCAGGAGCTCAGGAGACTAAGACTTTAAGAGATTCTATTCAGCTTTGTCTTCCTTTGCACAACAGTGCAGCTCGCTGATGTGATGTTCCTGGCTCAAAGTGTGGAGTCTAGTGTGACGGGGCTACGATGATGTATGCAAAGCGTCCGGCCTTCTCCTTAACGAATGGCAGACCTCGTAAGGGAAAGGAGGGCAAGGATGTGAAGGACAGCAAAGGCAGGGAGAAGGGGGAGAAGGAGCAGCCACAGGCAGTGCGAAGCAAGTCCTTGGCTGAGTTGCTAGAAGAGGAGGAGTCTGGTCGAGGGCCGAAGCTGGAAGAAGCCTTGCTGGCGGTTTTTAGGCTCATCGACGCTGATAACGGGGGCACCATCTCAAAACTGGAGTTCATCGGGGCCGTATATAGACACGCGCTAGTTGCCTCGTTCGTGTTGCAAGGTGAGGACATCTCAAAGCCATGGTTCAATGTTGCCTCTCTTGGCCTTGTGGTAGTATGTAAACATGTTAGCACTTGGGGCTCTGCTTGCTTCAGGGGATCTGCATATGTTTCTCAGTGAGGGACGTGTTCATCCTCGCTGGCATGTACAACAGCCTTTTTCGTTGGATCCTTCACCCCGAATCCCCTGGCGAGGTCATGGTTTGAGCCCGGAGCTGCAAAGCGACTCCAACGGGCAGGTGGCCATCAGCGAGCAGAGCTTCGACGCAGTCGATGAGGCCCTGAAAGAATAAATTGGATCCGACTATTCTATGTACAAGGCACTTAAGTAAGACAGAGGTCATAAGGCAATTTATGACAACATTCTGAAGGTGTAATTAGGGCTTAGGTTGGAGCCTCTGAACATCTTGGATTCAGTAGAAGATTTTCATTAGTCCATCTAAGGGTATTTCTGGGGCACAAGTTGCCCAGGTCTTCGATAGTATGTCTGGCGGAAGCGCGCGAGTCAAGTACCCCGAGTTTACGGCTTACTTCCGGAGGGTAGCAAATGTATGCCTTGCGGCACAGACTGAAGAAAAACATATGAAAGATGTCTTCAGCTCCATCGACGCAGATAGCAACGGCTCCTTTTCTAAGCTGGACATGGTGGCAGCGATGCAGAGCAGCGCACGTGTAGCCTCCTACTTGCTGCCGGACTTGGATGCCCGGAAGGTCTTGGAGGATGAGCGAAGCTACGACGCTGTTTGCTCTCTGTTTGATCGCATAGCTGCAGGAAGACCGTACGTGCAGTGGCAGGATTTCAAGACTTTCTGCCTGCACACGCGCTTCCAGAAAGCATGGGATTCGAGCCCCTCCACTACATGCTCCAGCCCTCTGAGCCCTTCTAGCCCTGGATCCCCAGATGACAGGTCTAGAGCAAGGCTCCTGATTATAGCGCCCGGTTTCGGGAGGGAGCGCCATCCCCAGCAAGCGGCGCTGCTGGCACAAGCAGGCTTTCAGATCCATTGGTGCCGTGACCTGCCCGAATATGCAGACGAAGGTGCCAGGCTGACATACCATGCGGTTGCTCCCTACCTCAACAAGATCCGAGACGAGATAGTGAACGTCCAGCCAAGTGTTGTTCTCGCGGCTTCCCAGGGCGGTGCATACTTGGTCGGCTTGTGGCAGCTGGGGTACTGGCATGGTCCCTCGGTCTTGCTGAATGCCCACCCCAGCCTGCCCATGCGGCTACCCGCCGCGGCTTCCATTGTGATTGCACACGGCTCCAATGACGAGGCGTATCTCTGGCAGCGGGCAGACCTCGAGGAGCTGATGACCACAGGGCCAGGAAACCGGACACTCCTTTACTACACCTCGAACAGTGGCTATCTCGCCTCTGGCTCCCTGACTCGTCTTGGGGATCGGCATGTCATGGCCTCCGTGTTGCAGAACAACACGCTCCCGAGGCTGGTAGACGCGGCCCTTAGTCCCATAGGCCCAGAGCTGCACCTGATCCAGTCCTGGCGCAACCAACTGAGCGACCTCCGCTTAGATGCCCAGCACTACCTGGGCTACTCTTTGGAACCTTCGATAGGTTGGCTCATTCTTGTTCCTTTTCTAGATCTATGTTGGTGCTGCGTAACCAAATCTGGATCCATGGGATCTTCCTTTTCCATGTGCTTCCCGCTCGCTCGAGAGACTACACTTCCAGTCAAGGGGTTGAGGCAAACGAGCGCCTCAATATATTAGAGAAGGACCTGAGGCTTTTAGGCAGTGCCCTTAACTCCAAAGTATGAAGTTCAAAAACTTCGAATCTGTAGCCGCAACCTTGCATTGCCCATGTCCTATACCCCGCATACCTTCGAGCTTTTAACTCGAAACCCCACTGCCTCTTGCCTCTTGCCTGTTCCTGCTGCTGCTACTGCTGCTGCTTGCTGGCTGCCGCGGCTGCGGCTGCGGCTG